GATGAGGATGTAATTCAATAAGGCCCTGGGTTCAATCCCAATTTCAGAACACATAAAAATAAAAAACAAAGAAAGCAACAAACACAAATAGACAAACAGGAAACTTCAAGAGAGTAAGACATTCCCATCATCTATCTCCTTTTCTGAGATATAGATCCCCATTTGGTAGAAGAAGGTGGGAGGTAGAGGGAAAAGCAGTTGTATTAGGGGTGAAGATGATACAAAAGTACTCCTCCTCAAAGATAAATAAAAGTTTAATAGACACCGGGAAAAGATGCAGCCTCTCGGGTTAACCAAAGAAAGGCAAATCTGAATGGCAGGGAGGAGGCACTACAGGTCTCCCTGATTAGCAAAAAGGAGGGGAGGGGTTGGCTCCTGCCCACTGCTGGTGGGAGGGGATAACTGGGGTCCTGATCTCAGGGGTGACGTAGCCCTCACGTGAGCCGGAGTTGACGCATGCAGACATCCTTTTAATCCTGGTCTTCCTTTGATCCGGTTTCCTGGTCGCTATTTTTACTCAGGGATCTGGGTATATTGCGGTGGATAGTAGGAAGAGGAGGAAGTAAATGCTTGGATTCTAGCAGGTCTGTTTGTGGATGGGCGCTGCTTGGAGATCTGCTTCCCTACCTTGCAGGCAGCGGAGGGCGGAGACCAACTGAACACAGCCCTTTCTCCTCCATTTTCCTAGCACTATCCCTGGCCCTTCCGGATTAAAAAAAAAAACAAAACAAAACAAAATGTGGACCTTGGAAGGCAGGCCTCGAGGGGAGACCTCAGACTAGGAGGGGGTACAACTTTGTTATGGCAGAGCCTTGAGTTAGGAGCGCAGGTGTTTATTTGATATTCCTTGTACTGGTTCGCCTGCCAAGCCAGAATCTCTAGATGTCGACTGTCATTCCCCTTGTTTTTCAGTAGGGCGCTGTACCATCGCTGTACCATTCCAGCAAAGGAATAATCTACTCCGAATCCCTGCAGGTCAGTGCAAAGCTCCGCAGGCCCCAGAAAGATGGGGATAACTCTGTCTAACTTGTGATTCTTATCAGCTCTTCAGCAATTTTAGTGTGTGTCTGTGTGTGTGTGTGTGCGCGCGCGCGCGTGCGTGCGTGTGTGTGTGTGTGTGTGTGTGTAAAAAGGATGTGACATTGCCAACAGGAAAAATGGTTATCATTGAGGGTGGATTCCATTACAGAGTGGGGCAGAAGAGATTATTTGATCTTTTTTTTAATTCCTAAGGTTATTCTATTTTCCTTAGCCCCGCCTCCCTCCATCCTTTCCAGAGGTTCCAAAGAGGTGTGTATTTTGCTGGGAAAATGGCCAGGCCTGTGCGGAGTGGGGAACAAGAGTTTAGCTGGAGGGTTTGTGTCAATGGAGTCCAGAGAAGTGGGACTAGAGTAAGAGCTAAAAAGGCAAAATGAATCTGACAACCAGGACCCCGAATTTGGAAAAGCTGATTTTGGAACTCTCTGAAGTGCTGTTCCATTCCCTGAGCCTTCCATCTTGGCTGTGTCACCTGTTTCTGTGGAACTTGGGCCTGAATGAAGACCATTCCAAACTTCGGAACCAGAAAGAGAAAAAGGTTGTCCAGAAGCAAATAGGTCAGATTGAGGGTGATGGATTGGGAAATCCTAGGTTGGAGGATGATGGTGATTGTGAACTCAAGTGGGATTATAGAGCTCCTCAAGTCCTCCTCTTTCCCTCCTTTGTCCACACTTTGAGGTTGCCAAAGAAGTTCTCTGCAGATGCTAGACTGGGGAGAAAGTGGCTGGTGTTGAGAGTCTTGTGATGGAGGTGGGGAGGAGGTTTTGGGGTACAGTATCTTTGGTGTTGATCCCCCGAAACATTCAGTCGTAGAGCTGGTTAGTCCTTAGGTTTGGTGGAGGCAGAAGGAGAGACAAGGGAGGAAGAAAATTGTTCTTGAGCATGGAAATAGGTATAATTAGGGGGTGGGTACGTGGGAAGGATGACCTGGTACCTTAGATCTAGATAGTGAGGATGGCAGAGGCAAGGGTGGAGTGTGAGATCTTTTCACATTTCAAACTAATTTGGCTTCTAGATACTACTTCTCTGTCCGTTTTGTTTCAAAGAAGGGGATGTGGTTGTCACTTCTGGAGGAAATGTTGATGGGGGTGGGATGGTGTGGGGGTAGAAAGTGGGAGCAGATCACTGAAGGAGGAGAGGGAGAGAGGAAATTAATTTTAAAGCTAAAGCTCTGAGGACATTAGGAATCAATAGGTGGGGAATTAATTGCAAGAAAGGACTAGAGCCAAGGATTCATGAAAGGGATATGTGTCCTATCCTTGGTTAGGTCTGTTTATCCCTTGAATTCTTATCACACCCCTCTTTATTCCCGTATCTGCAGGTCAACAGAATACAGTGCATTTGGAGGCTAGAAAGAGAAGGAAGAAACTGCTTGGACCTCTTCGGGTATATCTGAGTGCTTCATTGCCCTAGGACATCTTGAAGGACAGAGGTGGCAGGGAACTTTTAAAATACTTTAAATTTGATGTTCTGAGTGGGATGGTAAAATATGAGGTCTGTATGTGGGAAAATTTACAAAATTAGCTTCCCAATTGAGAAAAGGAATCAGTGATTCTAATAGCAAGCTCTGTATATTTGTAGTTCAGTTTGTTTGCATGCAAAGGCACAAAAGGGGAAGCCCAAAGCTTGAAATCTTTCCTTTATTTCTAGATTGCCCTCTGTCTGCAGTTGCAGCAGTCTGCCAGCAGCAGCTGAAGACTCCGCCCCTTACACAGGATTATCCTGGGCTGGAGCAAGCCTGCTCTGTGCCCAGGTTAAGAGATTCACTCCAGCTATACCATGGGCCGCACTAGGGAGGCTGGCTGTGTAGCTGCTGGCATGGTCATTGGGGCTGGTGCCTGCTACTGTGTATACAGATTGACCTGGCGAAAAGATGAGAATGAGAAAATCTGGGATGATGATGAAGAGTTTAGTGATACATCAGAAATTGGGGTTGAGACCGAGAAAGGAGCCAAGAATAATGTTGGAGTAGGGGTTGGAGCCAAACCTCAGTGTGACACTGAGGCCAAGGCTGAGGTGAGATTGGGACTTGAGAGTGGTCCGGGTATAAAGCAGGGGTCCCACTGTGGATCCCAGAGTAGAGGTGGCCTAGAAGCTAAGGCCAAGGCCCTTTTCACCATCTTGAAGGAACAGGCAAGTGCAAAAGTGGGCAAAGGGGCCAGGATTGGTAACATTTCTGGGAGTAGGACCCTTGCACCAAGTTTGCCCTGCCCCGGAGTCAGAGGTGGAGGCTGCCACCCCGCTAAGAGTGGAGCTAGGGCTGGGAGAAAGGCAAGTGGAAAATCCAAGGGAAAAGCTCGAAATAAGAGCACTAGGGCTCTACCTACAACGTGGCCAGTCCGCAGGGGCAAGTTCAATTTTCCCTATAAAATTGATGATATTCTAAGTACTCCTGATCTTCAGAAGGTCCTTAACATCCTGGAGAGAACAAATGATCCTTTTATTCAAGAAGTAGCCTTGGTCACGCTGGGTAACAATGCGGCATATTCATTTAATCAAAATGCCATACGTGAATTGGGTGGTGTCCCAGTTATTGCAAAACTGATAAAAACGAAAGACCCCATTATTAGGGAAAAGACTTACAATGCCCTTAATAACTTGAGTGTGAATGCTGAAAATCAGGGCAAGATTAAGACATATATCAGTCAAGTGTGTGATGATACTGTGATCTGTCGCTTGGACTCAGCTGTGCAGATGGCTGGACTAAGACTGTTAACCAACATGACTGTGACCAATCATTACCAACATTTGCTTTCCTATTCTTTTCCAGATTTTTTTGCTTTATTATTCCTAGGAAATCACTTCACCAAGATACAAATTATGAAACTAATTATAAACTTTACTGAAAACCCAGCCATGACAAGAGAGCTGGTCAGTTGTAAAGTACCATCAGAGTTGATTTCCCTCTTTAATAAAGAATGGGATAGAGAGATTCTTCTTAATATCCTCACTCTTTTTGAGAATATAAATGACAATATAAAAACTGAAGGTCTTGCATCATCCAGGAAAGAATTCAGCAGAAGTTCACTGTTTTTTTTATTTAAGGAATCTGGAGTATGTGTTAAGAAAATCAGAGCATTAGCAAATCATAATGATCTAGTGGTGAAAGTAAAAGTCCTGAAAGTATTAACCAAGCTCTAATTTCTTTTTTTCTTTTCTCTCTCTCTCTCTCTCTTTTTTTTTTTGGTACTGGGGATCGAACTCAGGACCTTGCGCTTTGGAGGCAGGTGGTAACACCACTGAGCTAAATCCCTGGCAACCAAACTCTTAATTTCTGTCCCAAACAAAATCGATACAGATTTGTAGTTCCAAATTGGGAACAATGAGTTTTTTAAAATTTTTTGTTTTTCACTGTGTTTATTTGGCAAGGAGATCCTTTGAGCTGCTATTTTGGAATAATAAAAACACGGATTATTAATAGTCATTGATGTTGGGTTCAGACTGGACTACTTTAAGGATACTAAGTGAATATTAGAGCTTGCAATAGCATTTATTGTTTTTATCTTCCTTCCTAGGTTGAGATTTTTTACTTTATGTATACTGACAGTGAAGTAATTGTGCATTATGAATAAGTTATACTCTTTTGTATTGTTTTTATATTAGTTAGCCTAAGACTCGTGTTTTATCAATAAAGTTCTGTGTTTTGAGCAGCAGGAAAAAAAAGGCATTGTGTCTATTTGGAAAGACAAGATATGTGGAAACAAAAAGTACAAAATCAGAGGCTTCCAGTCATGGACAGATGGTTTCCAAAGGTTCTTCGAGGCACCAAAAGCTGCTGCACACAAAGGTGTTCAGGGAGTTTTACAGTGAAGAGCTTGAAGGACAAGATGCAAAAGGTCAGAAGGGCACGCAAAGAAGAACAGTGGTGGAAGAAAGACATGGAGGTGGGACTTTTGCTCCAGAGAAGACACTGATCTGCCTGGAGTAGAGCATGTGGAGAGGAGAGCAGGGGGATGCGGGTAGAGTCAGTGGTTGAGGGGAGTCTTACTCTCTTTTTCTTGGAGCACATCCAGTTGCTGAACTGGGGTGTCTGGATATTACCCTCCTCTGCCCCTGGGAGACAACGAGGCCTTTCGTAACCAGAGGAATGACAGGATGAAAGGAAGACAGTCTAGCTGCTTTGTGTGTAGGATAGGACTGAGTTGGGGTGGGGACAGAAATGGGGACTACAGATCAGAAATCTAGTTAGGAAGTTAACTGCCATAGATCTGGCGGGTGATGAGAAAAGCATGAAATTTCACTGGTGGCTGGGAATGGTAGGGGCGGGAAGGAAGCCAGAGATCTCTTCTGCTGCAGCCTACCCTGAAGACATAAAGAAAGAGTTAATTTTATTTTAGGGTTCTGGAGGCACGTGACAGCAACACGTTCTGTTTCTTGGTCAATGACAGTGTTGGTAATGAATAAGAGATATGTTTTGAAATAATAAACTGTAGTGGAGGAAAGCTTGATTTCTAGTGCCTGTTTCAGATTTCTTTTATAAGGTTGTTTGGAGGGAGCCTTCATGGAACCATAGAGAGTGCTGTTAGGACCCATGGAGGAGAAGACCCACTTGTCTCCCACCCCATAGTGTTGGTGAGGGTATGGGAGGAGGGGAACTCTCAAACCATGAGATGAAGAAGATACAAATGTGAGGTTTGTTGAGATAGATGCTTCAGAAACCTTTAACATGTGCATGCCCTCTGACCTAGTAATTGCATTTGTAGATGTTTACGCATAGTAACTAGGCAAATAATTGACTTGTACAAAGTTGTGCATCTTCTAATTATTATGAAAAAAGTATAAATGACCCAAGTGTCTCAAAATATGTGGTTGGCTGAACAAAGATATGTGTATATTGAAAATGTTAATGAGCATCTATAGTAATGTATATGCAAAAAATCAGAATATAATCTTAAGTGGGAAAGATAGGCTATAAAAATACATAAAATACTTTTTATAAAAAAGTACATATTTAAATGACCTATGTATAAACTGGTGCATATTCTAAGACTCTTAGTAGTTCTTTATAGATGTTATACTCATAAGCAATTTTGTTTTTTTTAAAATGAACTCCTGTATAATTTATGATATTTATATAATAAGTAAGGATTTCTTGCATACTTTGTCAAAAAGCCTCTAAATAGTATAAGAGGCTTAGGACAAAAAGATAGATGGAGACTCACATATTTATGTCTAAATATTTGGAAGGTATAACTTAATTTGCCTAAACAACTAAAGTATTTCTGCAGCCATTGAAAATATTAATGGACATCTACACCTTCTTTTGTTAGTTCTGAGGATCAAACCCATGCTAGGCAAGTACTCTACCTCTAAGTTACATCTCTAGCACTTTAAAAACTTTTGAAGTTTGAGACAGGATTTAGTTAAGTGGCTGAATTTAGCCTCAAGCAAGAGATACTCCTGTTCTAGTCTCCTGAGTAACTGATTATAGGCATGCAGCAACACACCTGGTGAAATACAATTTCTTTTGTGGGGGTACCGGGGATTGAACTCGTTCCCTTGTGCTTGTGAGGCAGGCAGTGGAACTGCTGAGCTAAATCCCCGGCCCAGACATACAATTTTTTACATGCAAAATTTCCACATATAATCTTAACTGGAAATGTTTACGTGACTGTTTAGATAACATATCTATTTTTGAGAAGTAAAAAGATTTACATTCATTAAAACTTCTGAGAGTGTATACTCATATGATCAAATACCACAGTGTGTCTGAGGATGTTTCTGTATCCACTATTCTGTTCCACTGAGCCACATGTCTGTTTTTGTGTCAGTACCATGCCATTTTTATCACTGTTGCTTTGCAATATAATTTGAAGTCTGGTATTGTGATGCCTTCTGCTTTGCTTTTGTTGCTTAGGATTGCTTGTGCTATTTTGGATCTCTTCTGGAACTATATGAATTTTAGGATTGTTTTCTTTCATTCTGTGAGGAATGCTGTTAGTAAATCTGTTATCAGTTTTGGGAGTATGGCCATTACGAAAATACAGATTCTCCATGTCTGGGAAAGGGGGACATTTTTCCTTTTTTATTGGTACTAGGGATCAAACTCAGGACTTTGCACTTGCCAGGCAGGTGCGGTGCCACTGAGCTAAATCCCCAGCCCTTCATTTTGTGATGCACTCCATTTTCTTTTTGGGGGTATTGTGGTTTTTGTTGTAGACGTCTTTTACTTCCTTGGCTAGGCTAATTGCTAATTATATAATTTTTCTCTGATTTTGTATTGGGAATTGAACTTGGGATATTGCGCTTGTGAGGCAGGTGGTGCAACCATTGTGCTAAATCTCTGGCCCTTCTATAATTTTTCTTGATGCTGTTGTGAATGGTATTGTTTTCCTAATTTATTTTTTCCTGTGTTCGTAATTGGTATACACAAATGCTTTTGATTTGTGTGTGTTGACTTTGAATCCTGCTTCATTGCTGAAATTGGTTATTTTAAGTGGGTTTTTGTGTCTTCCAGGTGGAATATCATGTTTTCTGCAAATAATGATAATTTGACTTCTTTCCTTCATATACGTATCTCTTTTATTTCTTTCTCTTCCTTCATGCCTCTGCATAATTTTTTTTTTGTTTTTTTCTAGAGGGGTACTAGGGATCGAACTCAGGTCCTTGCGCTTGCAAGGCAGGTGGCGGAACCGCTGAGCTAAATCCCTGGCCCTGGATAATGTTTTGAGTGCTATGTTGAATGGAAGTGGTGATATTGGGAATTCTTGTCTCATTCCTGGTTTTAGGGGACAAATTTTCAGTTTTTGCTCATTTAATATGATGCTGGTCATTGATTTGTTATAAATGGCTTTTATTAGATTCAGGTAAGATCCTTTTATAACTGTTTTCAGAGTTTTTATCATGAAGGGGTATCAGATTTTGTCATCAACTTTTTTCCATATCAGTTGATACGATCATGTGGTTTTTGTCCTTGCTTCTATTTATTTCATATATTACAGTTATTGATTTGCATATGTTGAAACATCCTTGCAATCTTCTATAAAACCTACTTGGTTGTGATGTGTATTGATAATGTGTTGCATTCTGTTTGCCAGTACCTTACTGAGGATTTTTGTGTCTATTAAGGGATATTGGCCTATAGGTTTTCATTTTAGTTGAATCTTTTTTTCTAGTTTAGGGATCAGAGTGATGCTGGCTTCTACAAACAAGTTTGGAAGCACTCCTTCCCTTTCAATTTCATTGAAAAATTTGACAAGTATTGGCAATGTGATATCTTTAAAGGTTCTGTAGAATTCAGCAGTGAATCCATCAGGTCCTGTGGCTTTTTCAAAAGTTAAGTTTTTCATTAGGGCCTCAGTTTCATTACTTGTTATTGGAATGTTCAAAATTTTTTTCTCTTCTTGGTTTTAGTTTTGGTAATTCATATACTTCCAGGAATCTGTTCTTTATAATTTTTCCAATTTGTTGGAATACAGCTTGTCATAGTAGTTACTATCTTGTGGATTTCAATGGTGTCCATTGTGATTTTTTCCTCTTTAATTTCCAGTTGTATTGATGCGAGTCTTTTTTCTCTTTCTTTTGATAAGCCTGGCTAAGGGTTTAATCTGCTTTGTTTATTCTTTCAAATAAACAAACCACATATTCAATTTGTTGATTTTAGTCTCAACTTCATCAGCTTTGACTCTGAACTTTATGTTTTCTCTTGTTAATATTAGTTTGGGCTTGGATTATTGTTTTTTCATTCTCAGGACTGCTTTCATTATGGTGCATTGTACTGGTGTTGTCTTTGCTCCAGAAATTGTTTAATTTCTTCCTTGCTTTCTTCTGTGACCTTTAGGTATTCAGGAGTGCATTATTATGTTTCCAAGTGTTTCTAAAGTTTTTGACGTTTCTCTGTGATTGATTTCTAGTTTCTTTGCACTATGGTCTGATAGTAAACATGGAGATTTTGAGTCTTACATATTTACTTAAAAAGGCTTTGCAAACTAGGATGTGTTCTATTTTGCAGAAGTTTTGTGTGCTGCTCAGAAGAATGTGTATGCTATTGTAGAAAGATAGAGCATTCTGTAGATATCTTTTAAGTCCATATGTTGAAGGATATGGTTCAACTCTGATATATCTTAACTGATATTTTTGTTCAGTTGATCTATCTCTTGGTGAAAGTGTGGTATTGAAGTCACCCACTATGATTACATTGTGGTTATTTGGTCTATTAGGACCAGCAGTGTTTGTTTGAGGAAGATAGGTGCTCTCTATTTGATGTATGTGTATTTACAAACACTATCTCTTCTTGTTGGATTATTCCCTTAACTAAGTAGTTACCTTCCTTGTCTCTTCAGATCAGTTTTAGTGTCAAATTTACTTTGATAGTAAAATTGCTACCCCTGCTTGTTTTGGAAGTTGTGGTGTATGAAATATTTTTCCCATCCTTTAATTTTTGGTCTGTGAACATCTTTTGGGATTAGATGAGTTTCTTGAATGCAGCAGACTGTTAGATTCTGTTTGATCCAGTCTGCCAATCTGTGTCTTTTAATTGGAGAGGTGAGGCCATTAACATTGAGAATTATTACTGAGAGGAGTTAATTCCTATTATTGCAGTCTTTCTCCATTGATGACTCTTTTGTTTTTCATTTTCTTTTTAAAAAATATATCCATTTTCTTGATTTATTCATTCCACCAGGATCTTTGGCTTTGTTCACTTATCAGTCCAGGGCATTCTTGAGTGTTTTCTGGCATGCTGCTTTGGTTTCCATAAATCTGTTGAGTTGTTCTTTTCCATGGAATTCTCTTATTTCTACGTCTGTGTTTGAAGTTTTGCCAGATGGGTTAATCAGTGTTGAAATTCATTTGCTTAAGGTAGAAATACCTCCGGGTGTGGTGGCTCACGCCTGTAATCCCAGCACTTGGGAGGCTGAGGCAGGAGGATCGCTGCGAGTTCGAGACCAGCCTGGGCTATATAGTGAGTTCCAGGTCAGTCTCAACTACATAGTGAGACCCTGTCTCAAAAAACAAAACAAAACAAAAAACAACAAAAAAGGTAGACATACCTAGTGGTTTTCCAAACTTAAGCAATTGGTTGCCTTAAAGTAGTTTAGTGTGGGGCCAAATATTTGGATAATGCCTCTGTAGATTGAGTCACCCCTTGATGACAGTGGAGATCGAGATGACATTGTTATATTGGGTCGATAACTTTATAGGTTACAGCAAAGTGTAGAAAGAAGAAAGCAAACTTTAAAAGTTGCCAATACATGAGACTAGGATGAAGAACACAGAAATTGCTATTTATCTGACTGCTCCTATGTTTTACATAGGATGAATAGTTTGGGTATAAAACAAATAATAATTTCTGTATTGATACATTAACATTGGGGTGCAGAATGAGTTTTACACCGGTCCTTAAAAGGAGGTTTCTTCTAGTAATGGAAAGCCACAGTGTGGTAAGTTCAGGCCTGACTGTCATTCACCTGTTCCTTTTTTTCTCCTTTTGTTCCTTCCCACCTTTCTCTTTCTTTCACACTTCTGTCTCTTTTTCCTCCTGGGGACAGTTAGTGATGGTTGCTCTGCACTTCTGTCTCTTCTGGTGTGGCATGACCATTTGATTTCCATGACACCATGCATTGTGCCAGTGGGCATTTGATACAGAACAATAATTATCATTACTGTGGTTGTAAAGTGAACCTAGGTGTGACAGGATGCCAAGGATGTTTGGGAAGCCTTGTTGACCTGAACAGAGACTGAGGACTTAGTGTTAGGTTGGTGCTGCCCTATGTGCCCTGCATGAACTTTTCATGTCTAACGCCGGGTAGTATCTAGACTCGGGAAAGTGCTGGGTGAGACTGACGAGAGACATGGCCAGGTCATACTCAGATGTCCCAATATTTTCACCTAGGAGGTTGTCGCTCCCAATCATTTTGGTAAGGGCAGGTTTCTCGGATTGTGGCTGTGACTGTGGCAGCTCATGGGGCCTTGGAGGAGGCAGTCCCTTCCCTTTAGAGAAGATAACAGAAACTCAGAGGATGTCCTACTGTTTTGGTTTTATTGTCATCTAACAGTTTTAGGGTCTATTGCAGTCCAAATGTGGTTAAAGGCTTTTTTTCTTGTTGAGGTAGGGTCTGGTTGTATAGTTCATGCTGGCCTCTTAACGCTCGGTGATCCTCCTACCCCAGCCTCCTGAGTGCTGGGATTATGGGCATGTGCCATCACACCTGGATAAAGGCAATTTTACCATGATGGATTTCAGTTTGTTATAAATCATTATGCAAAGCATAATACTGCAAGGATTAGGAAGCAGATTTTCTTCTTCTTCTTCTTTTTTTTTTTTTTGGAACCGGGATCAAACTCGGGACCTTGTGCTTGTGAGGCAGGAATTCGAACCACTAAGCTAAATCCCCAGCGCTCTTTTTTTTAAAAAAATTCATATTTTAACTACCTTGTTTCAAAAGGAATTCCATGTATAAGTGGTAAATTGATGTGATTCAGGCAATGTTATGTTTATGGCTCTCTCTGGTTTTGCTGTTTACTTGAGAATGGCTTGTAAAGTCGTGATTATGAGTATTTCTAATGGGAGCTAATGGATATCTAATTTCTTCTTTTTTTGTTTTTGAGACAGGATCTCTTGCATAACCTAGGCTGTTCTTGAGCTCACTGTGTAGCCTGAGCTCTTGATGCTCCTGCCTCAGCCTCACGAATGATGGGATTACAGATGGGTGCCACCACATTTGGCTCTAATTCATTCTTTTTTTTTTTAAGTTTTTACAGTTTATTAATCCTCTCGTGAAAGACAGGCACTGCAAAGTCTTTACTCCTTCGGCTTTTTGCCAGCACCAACGTTTGCCTTTGCAGTGCCCCTGACTTTCTTCATTCTGTTCTTGCGTTCCTTCCGCTGCTTTCTTGATGTCTTTTTCTTCTCATACAGGCCATGTCTTGCAAGTCTATGTTTGGGTTCATTTTTCTTTGCATAATCCAAAGAATCATAAATCATGCCGAAGCCAGTCGTCTTGCCACCCCCGAAGTGGGTTCTGAATCCAAACACAAAAATGACATCCGGTGTAGTCTTGTACATTTTGGCAAGTTTTTCCCGAATTTTTGTCTTGGGTACTGTTGCTTTCCCGGGATGAAGGACATCAATGACCATTTGTTTCCTTTGAAGTAGTCGGTTGGTCATGAACTTCCGGGTCCAGATAGCTACAGTGTCATTCATGATGGCAACAGAACCTCGAGCAGGCAGGGAGGAAAAGCTAATTCATTCTTTTTACATTAATTTTACATCACATCCTGGTCTGAAGTTTCTCTCTGATTTCTTTGTTTAAATTGTGACTCTTCCTTGACTTTAACCTGGGTAGTAACTCCACACGAGGAATGTAAACATTATGTACTGCAAATGTGTACTAATAAAAAAGAAGAAAAAATTAAAATATTTGCTACTCTACTAGGAATAAAATAACATATGAAAGTTTAAAAATTTTAAAAAGGTGACTTGGATCAAAAATTCTGCATCCTGCTGGGTATGGGGGTGCATGCCTGTAATCTCAGCACTTGGGAAGCTGAGGCAGGAAGATTGTCCATGAGTTCGAGGTGAGCCTGGGCCAGATAGTGAGTTCAAGGCGAGTCTGAATTATAGAGAAAGACCCTGTATAAAAAAAAAATTCTACTTCAGCTGTTGAAGTACTCATAGTATCTTTTGTCTCGATATGAGGCAATAAATATACTAAACAGTGTATTTATGCATTTGAAAATCTGTTTAAAATCTCTTCTCCAAGTTACATATTGTCATTTGTGCCTCTCATCCAAGGACAGAACAAATACGGATGTCCTATAAAATATTCTATTAAATTTTGAAGACATAAGCAGTTTTTGTATCAGTTTTTTAATCGTTTTAATACTAAGGTTATTTTAATGCTTGATTTCCATTTGCATACTTGTTTTTTTGATAAAGATAATTTTATTAACATTTCCCTTCATTTCATTTCATTTTTTCAAAGAAAATTTCCCATACTGTAATGGCATGAAGATTATGTACATTATATCCTAAAAGCTTAATTGTTTTGTCTTTTACTTTTAGATTGTTTTTGACATATTAAATAAAACTTTTAATTTTTTCTTCTCTTTGATGTTCATATATTACATAAATACATTTTGTGATTTTTTTTTGTCTTTATTGTAGTAGTGTGCTCAGGTTAAATTGAAATATGCAAAGATTAAGAAAACCATATCACTGTAAGATAACTAAAGTGAAGCTCTGCTGTGGTAACTGGAATCCTTATCTCTGAAGTTCTTCAGGTGGTCTTTGAGATGACGCAGGATCTGTGCCCACCAAACCATGCCTTCCTCACTTCACTCCTATTTTATTGCTCTTCCTGTTGGTCCCATAAGCTGAACTAACTGTTCTTGCTTCTGCTGTATTTTCTGCCTAGAGTTTTCCTCACATGCCCTCAAGTTTAATTCTCCTCTCTATCCATACTTTGTGTGTGTGTGTGTGTGTGTGTGTGTGTGTCTGTATGTGACAGACAGATATTGGAGATTGAACCTGAGCCTTTTGCACTGAGCTGTCTCTCTAGAAATTTTAATTTTTTGAGACAGGATCTCGCTGAGTCACTAAGTTGTTCAGGCTGAGCTAGTACTTTTTTTGCCTCAGTTTCCCATAGTGCTTGTGTTACAGGAATATGCCACCATGCCTGCCTTTTTCCTATTCTTTTTTTGCTTCTTTACTTTCTAACATTCTAAAGACTATATTTTACATATTTATCTTATCACTCCACAAACTGTATGTACCAAAAAATGGTTAATAGCATAGTAGACAATAAATACTTGTTGAATGAATAAATATTCACATACATTGTGTCTGTGTGCTTTTTTAAAAACTGGAATCATACAAACACATTGTATCACTTGCATTTCCCTTTTTGATAACTGATAGATGTTGTCAGTTGATAGTGATTTTAAATAACCGCTGAACATTCCATAGTAATGTTATATTCAGGTTTTTAGTATTTTGGTGCTCATTTTTATAATAGTTCACAAAAAAATTCTTAAGTATATTTAGCTCTATTTGATTCTTCTACCTATACCATATACTTTTATGAAGA